AAAAATTGGTGTCTGAACCTCTTTGAAGACATTATCCCCTGATTTTTATCGAGAGTTTTCTTAGGTGACTTCGGTCATTTAAGATGTAATTAACTATAGGGGCTTGCCCTTATAGGAAGCTTTTCCGAACCCAACCTAAAATAAACCCTATTTAATTCTTTGTATTAAATAGGAGAACTTGTCGACAAATAAAACGGCTTCGCAGACCAAACATGTGTCATATATTTCTTAGTTTATTTGATCGAGTCTCTTCCTCGAGTCTTGTGTTTATCCCTCGGGATAGATACAGGATTTGAGGTAGAATGCTCTTTCATTTAAACTGTGAAAAATATGAGGTCAGTTTGATTTCATATTTTTCTAAAATTATATGTATATACGTAAATTAAAAAGTCCTTCCGAAGCGGGCAACGGGATTTCGATTCCGGCTGCCGACAGCTTCTTACGGGCGACCCCCCAAACATTAACTTTTTCCCCTTTTAAGCGTCGACAAGGTGCAGCGTCGAAACTGAATCGCAGACGAGCGACGCAGGAGACATACCTGCGATGAAAACACGAGACGTCGACGACGACGCAGACGCTAGCGACGGAGCGAGAGTTGACGAAACAAGTTACGAGCCACTCCTTCGAGCAAAAAAAATCAAGTGCGACCAAAATCGCCATTGGAAGCCCTAGCAGAGCTCTCGACCGCAACAGACATCTTTTTTAGAATATATATATATATATATATATATATTATAGAAGGTAAATTCATTAATGAAAAAGAGAAGATACAAAGGTTTTAGTGCGTGGGTGGGTACAAAGAGCTCACTCACAGGGAATACAACTCGCTCAAAAAGAAACTTTAAAATACTCGTATACCCCAAAAAACCTGAAATACTCTTATTCATGGTGGGAGGATTTACCACTTCCCCTACCCCTAGTTCTAGAGAGGAGTCCAACACCAAACTGAGATGTAGGCCTCCGCTCGAAACTATCAAACAATCATCCTGAAAATACCGGAGTTCTAGTATCTTTTTTTTCTTCTTCCGAGATTTGTAAACTTGTCATTCATCTACCAGTGTTTGTCCCATCTTATCTATTTGTGAACCTTCGATGGAAAGCTCACCCTGGGGGGTTTGTTGATCCGTAAATTGCTAAGCAATCTCAGCCTGTAGCACATCTTGATCATGGCGCTCCTCCAGGGCTTAATTACTCTCTTCTCTCGAAATAGGTGGTTTCCAAAAACACATCGGCTAGCATTTGCTACAACCAAATTTGTAGTATTTATGATACGAGGAAGAACTGTCTCAACAACAGTGGGAAGTAGCTGCAAATCCGGTTGGTGAGGAATATCCCGATGAGACAAATTTTCATTCAACATTTTTGGATGAACTTCAGTTTCTGTTATATTTTCCTCCGCTTGGGTGATGTTATTAGGAACTGCAAAATCCAAATGCACGGGAAGGTTGGATCTCAAATGCGGATGAAGCCTGAAACATTTGGCAGGTGTGTGCCCAATCAGTTTACAGTTATTAAAGTAATAGGATATTTGTTCTGCGACAATTGACTGCCAATACCCATTGTGCGCAGCACGTATTGGCAGCACCAAGCCATATTTCTTCCACATCAGGGAGGGTGATATCCCTTTCAATAAGAATTCTTGCAACCGAAGGCCTAGATAAGTTGAATGTGGGTATGTCCAATTTCATAGGTTTCCCTAATGCAGCTCCAATAGAATAAAGGACTTGTTGATTAATGTAGTGCAACTTTAGGCCGGGTAGTTTAAACCAGATTGAAACTATAAAGGGTTCTTGGCTAGGATCGAATTCAGGAGACCCCTTGAGCAATTTCATAAATTTCTCATCAATTGTCATATACTTCTTGAAAAATATTTTGACATATTCCTCTACTTTGGATAATTGTATCATCACATGTCTCCCATCAAAGAGACCAACCTTCCAATGTCCCAATAGTTTGAGATCTTCAAAAGCCTTTCTAGTGTTTTTTGTGCAAATTTGGATTTCTTTGTTTCATTAGATTTCATTGCTAGCAACAACAAATAGTTTGAGAAAGATATCAAGTTTCCTTGCAAACTTTTTGCATTTTAAATTTTGCATTAATTTGAATTGCATCATCATCATCATCATCATAATATTTGTAAGATGAAATTGCATACCCAGTTTTCCTCAACTTTGTATTAGTTGCAGCAAGGAAACCTATACCTTGAAATGTGTCATACATCACTCTATCCTCCACGGCGAGTCATCTCTTCACTTGCCCCTCATCCTCATCTCCAGCAACCATCACCATATTTACTCCAGTTGTTTAGCAGCAGCCTACTGGAGTTCTTTCTCCACAATCTTCTTCCAAAAAGTTTAATCTTCTACAGCCACATGAGGATTCACATCTCCATTGCGAAGTTCATAAGCTTAGCACCATCTCCAACAAGCCATTTATTTGACTGTGAAGAGTTTTGATCCTTTTCAACGCACTAGCTGCTCTCCCAACAGTTACCTCATACTGTCCTTGACTATAACATCCATCTCCTCATGAGGAAAAATTCAGCAGACCTGTTGACAGCCATCGAATCTCACTCAACCCTTTATTTCTCGATAGACATTAACAACCAGTACCACATTGAGCTAATTTCATGCCCATTGTTGTAACAACCACCTCATTGCATTCCAAGATTTTAACCAACTTACCTTTTTTTATCCATTTCCCAACACAAGCACTGAGCCAAGATCTACGTCAGGTGATCCCATCCCTAATACTTCTCTTAGGTTTACTTCAATCACTAAGCTCAAGCACAACATCTAAGCCAATGCTCGGATCAAACATAGATCTCTAACAAGACAGGAGTTGGCCCCAAACCCACCAAAAACTGAACCAAGTTAGCTGCCAGGCTACTGCATGATTATTTGCCTACTTCAGTTCCCAGTATTCTTCAAAGAGCTTGCAAGGATCTCTATTTAGATGAAAAGTAGTTTCATTCATTAAGTAAAAAACTAGTTTCCACCAAACATCATCATCACATATCAGCTTTTCAGTATGTTTACAAAATGTTATCTTTTCTACTTCACGCACCAGTTAATCGTCTGTGATAATCAGCAGGTTCATGCTTATTTTAGAGCAACCAGAGCTTTGATTCTACGCAGGCATCCTACCATGGTTTTACAGAAAAAACTTCTTAGTATATCAGTTATGTCGTTGAGCCTACTAAGCAAGATAATACATGCAATATGTATATTACGATAGCTATAAAAGCTCAAATGAAGAGTGGACAAACAGCTAATAAATGTTCACATGAATCCAAACAGAAAGTTCAGCAAGCTTTCCTTTGAAAATAATAATAATAATAATAATTTAACCTCTCCAGCAACTAATAAAAAAAAGTAAAAAAAAATATCAACTTTCTGGACTATTTAGTGTAGATGATTAAGATAATGCTGATGTTCAAACATTAGAACAAACATAACATACACAAAAAAAGAGATGATAAAGATGAACACCAAAAATTTGATCAACATCAAATGATAGAATATCAAGCAGAACAAGAAAAATAAGCTAAAAAGAAAACTAATAAGAGTGTACAGAAGATACCTTTACTACAGCAGCATCATCATATCGACCCCAACCAGAAGCAGAAGCTGATCATTAAGCAAACGAAAATTATGTCCCCACAAAAAGTCATTCAATTGCGAATTGCATCAAGGCAGACAATTTTTCATGCAGTGTTTTGCTCATTGGCATGAAACAAAATAACTAAGTTATTTGACGCAGGAACTCCCGCTATACCGCGGATTGCAGCATCGAACCAGGACAGGCTTCCATCCTGGCAGACCCCTGTAGCGGGAAATTCCAGTTCATTTAGGTTGTATGTGTCACAATAGAAAAAAATAAAAAAATAATAAAATAAGAGAATATTTATGGGTCAGCGTAGGTTCAAAGGGAGCAACGCCTAGATGGTTTTGTTTTAAGAAGGTATCTCATTCAAAGCAAATAGAGAAACTAATCAAGAAATGAAAGAGAGGAGTGAGTGCTTACCTTAGTGTGAGAAGAAAGCAAAGAGAAAGAAGGGGCAGGCAAACTTTTCGGGACAATCTAGACAAAGCGTCATCATTGTCAAAAGAAGACAGCAATGCTAGTAATCGAGCATGCGAGCATCTCAAGCATGGATCCGGAGAAGAGATGAGGGCAACAACTCTGTGTAAGTGTGGCACTATTACGTGCAAGGGATTTGTGTCAATCAGAGCAGGAAGCTAAGTAGAAATCACGATCGGTGACCGTGAGTAGGTGTCAACACATAAGCAGGACTGAAGCAAGCGACACAAAAGATTTAGCGAAATTGTGCCAAGCGAGGCAATGAATGAGCATAGGAAGCCATGTGAACAACAAGCAGTTTGTTGAGCGATTGAGCACATCTGTGCATGAAAAGTAGTTTGATAGATAGCTATGTGTTCAATCCAAAAACGCATGCTGTAAAGATCAAACAAAATTGAGGCATCTTTTAAAGGGAGATTTACGGGCATAGCACATAAAACCTTCATATTTACATATTCAACACCTCTAAATTTTATTTTACCCGTGCAGCATTCCGTTCGAACATCATTTGAACTCTGTCATAATATGCAAAGCGAGCAAAAATAATATCTCACTTAACGATTCACTAAGAACCTGGAGGTCAAACCGAAATGGTTTCTACTTATATTGATCCGCCTTCCGATCCTGCTCCATTTACGAAAAGCTGATGGTCACACTTTTCTCCTTGCCCTGCTCCGCTTTTCCCCAAAGTTGACACACTTCGTGCTTTGTTTAGGGATTTCTTCAATGAACTAGTTGATCTTAAATGACAGGTACTCGCCAAGAGCTGGAAATTAATTTTGGTTGATTTTCACCTCTATAATTTGTCTTTTTAATGATCCTTCTTCGTTTCTACCAGATCATCTCGTCTCTGACATTGGCGCCGATCACCCCGATCACCACCCAGTTTCGGTTTCTTCCTCTCTTAGATCGCTGAAATTGGTCTTAACTACCCAATCTTCGTAGGAGCGTGATCAGACCTAGCTCAATCTGGATCATCTGACCTCCCTGATCCTGCACTGTAGTTACTGACAACCCTCCTCGGCTTTCATTTTGCCAAAATCTTTATGATTCAGGTACATATTGGTGCAGGTTCTGCTGGCAGTCACAAGGACTTTCTTTCAATACTGTTCTACCCTTTAATATTTAAGAAAGCTAAATGATTTGCAAAAAGATTGTCTTCATTTGCTACAACCACATTTCTAAAGGCTGTTAATAAGAAGGTAAATCATTAATTCATATAATTTTTTTAATGAAAATGTGTTAAAACAATTCTTAGGGTTGAGGAACATTAGGTAATAAGCAAGAAGAAGCAGAGGCGAGTAAAAAGAGAGAGTTGCACTTATGTTAATCCCCCTAACACAAATATAGCATAAATTATGTTACAGGAATTAATGGAGGTGTTGGAACGTGAAATCAAATGCAGAGTAAAGAAAGGTTGAATTACATAAGAGATTATAACTATAATATAATGAGTTCAGATATGGAAAAAAAAAAGATTTTGAATTAAAATGATAAAGATTCGGCTTCCTTTGACACTGCAGTGATCATCTTCACAATCAAAATCCAACCAACCTCAAGATATCCCATTTATTTCCTATAGAGTGAGCAATCGCCGGGTAAAGGTAACATGAAATGAATCAATAAATTCAACATTCACTAATAGCAAAGTAAAAATATTTATAATTTAGAATCTCAACATAATTTGAAACTGTTATTGTTACATATATAATTTTGAATCTCAACATAGTTCATATTTTTAGGGTGGTTGCACATAGCTCTTCTGATCAAAGCCTCTTCAGACTGGCTCGATGGGAAAAAATTTCAACTACTAAGCAAGAAAATATTTTGAGCTATAGTGCTTAGGCAAGTGATCTCTTATTATATGCCTTTTAAGTCTCTTATTATGTACCTTTTGACTCTAAAAGTAATTCTTTTTTTTTTTTTGTTAGGTTAGAGATATGAATGCCTTTCTATGAATGCCTTTCTGCTTACATCACATAAGTGCTATACGAATGTAAGAAAAGAAATCTTTTGTTCACCTTTACTTTTAGATATATGCACCTTTGTTATTATTTTGAGTTTATATAACTCATCGCATGCAAGCTGTTTTCACAACAGTAGATACTGCAAGTGAGCAGTTAGTACATGCTTATTATTTGCTTTTAGTGTTCTATGTACATAAATGATTTCTTTATTGCATTTGATTATGTTTTTATTTATGTTTACAACTACATATGTGAATACATATTGTCGTTATCTTTTTGCCTTGATTGTTTGCAACGTTTTTCTAAGTGCCCCTTTTATTTTTTCTTTGTGTTCAGCTAGCTTTAGCTAGAGCAATTTTATTATATTGTTTTTATTTTTTTACAGGATCCACTTGATTGAATTTTCAAACTAATTTGTTGATTTGATTGCTAGAATGACATATTTGTTAATATAGTTTAAATATGGTGGATATTTGAGTCAAGTTAAAAATAAAACGCCAGAGGAAGGAGATAAAGGGAGTAAACAGTTTATGCCAAATCCAATTTCCCCAAAACCAATCTGGATGAGAGTGTCAAGTGTCATAGATCAATTTACAAACCGACTGTGAAGAAAACTTCTTCCAAACAGAATAATCCCTGCGGGAAGGGGGTAGTAGGAATATTAGATATATGATTAGCATTCAGCTCCCCCACCAGAGACCATAGCTTAGTGAAATCCCAACTTCCTTGAGAAAAGAGATCAGAAACAAGCATATTGGTTGTATGAGATGGATGAGTGTGCTCAGAAAGGGAAGGCAGGCATTCCCCAATTATCATCCCCAATTATCATTCCAGAAAGAGATGTTTCCAGCACTAATATCTCAAAACATAAAATCCCTAGCAGTGGATCTGGCATTCAGAATGGCCTTCCAGATCCTAGAGTCACCTACCTTCCGCAAAACATGGGAAGGGTGGGAAGTGACACAGTATTTTTTATGCATAAAAGAGGCCCAGAGAGAAGAGCCCTCTTTAAATTTAAACCAAAGCTTGCAAAGATTAACTTCAACAGTATGTTGTAAAGCTTTGAAACCAAAGCCCCCAGCTTTTTTGAGTTTACACATCTTATGTCATGAAACCCAAATTTTCTTAGCACCACTCCCAACCCATAGGAATTTATTAAAACGCCTCTCCATGACTTTAATGGCACTCTTCTTCGGGTTGAACACCTGTAATGCATAGAGAAGAATACTTTGAAGCACACTAGAAAGCAAAGTAATCCTACCCCCAGTAGAAAGGAAGACATTCCTCCAATCATTTATCCTATGATTAATTTTGTCAATGACATCATCCTTTTGAATCTGCTTTTTCCTTCTCTTAATCAGATTTACCCCAAGATACTTTGAAAGGAGGGAGGCGTGATGATAACGAGTGAAAGAAGCTCCCCAATTAGCAATATAGTTTTTAACAAGTTTGTCAAAAAACAGCTGACATTTGTCACAGTTAAAAGCCAAACCAGAAAAATTCTGGAAATCATTTAGTAGCGTCATTAATTTTTTGATAGCAAATTTGGATGCATTTGCAAAGATAATAACATCATCAGCATAAGATGGGAGACCATAGTTTTAGCCTTATGAGAGAATTGTGTATGAGGGTAGAGCAATTGAAAACGATTGAGTAATCTATATAAGTAGTCAAAGGCAATGATGAAAATAATAAGGGAGAGAGGGTCCCCCTGTTTAATACCCGTTTTAGCAGAGAAAAAATCATAAGAACTACCATTAACAAGCACACTATAATGGTTATTGGACAACCATCTTTTAATTAGCATGCAAAAGCTATAACTGAAACCTCTGGCCAGCAAGACATTGATAATGAAATCCCAGCTTATTGTATCAAAGGCCTTTTTGATATCCAATTTTATAACTACATTTCCACCCCTGCATTTTTATCAAGATCTTCAATAATTTCTTGGGCTAACAAAAAATTATCTAAAATATCATGGCCCTTAACAAAAGCCGATTGATGTGGAGAAATGAGGGAGGAAAGGTGAGGCTGTAAACGGGCCACAATCAATTTACTTATGATCTTAGAAACCACAGAAGTAGGGAGATAGGTCTTAAATTCTTCCAGTGCAGTTTATCAGTGGATTTAAGGATAAGCACAATCAGGACAGCAGTAAAATACTTACCAGGATCTTCTCCTTGAAAAAACTTTGAATGACTAGAATTACCTCATTCTTAATGATGTCCCTACAAGAAATATAGAAAGCAGAAGTAAAACCATCAGGGCCAGAAGCGTTTTAAGAATGGATTTCTTTGAGAGTGGTGAGAATTTCCATCTCCGAAGGAGGGTCAGACAAAGGGAGGACGATACCAAATCTCTATTTGCATCAAACAGCTCAGGATCAATTGCAGTGACCTTAACCACATCATCATAAAGAAAAGCAAAGTATTCCGCAGCATCGGAGCCAATTTGATCAATATTAGTAAGGACAACACCCTCAGATGTGACAATCTTAAGAATAGCATCAATGTTCCTTCTATGCTTGAAAGTAGCGTGGAAATATTTAGTATTTCGATCACCATTGCTAAAGTAAGTGT